GTCCGAATTGCCCGCGGCCTAGGCTGCGGGTCCGAATTGCCCGCGGCCTAGGCTGCGGGTGTGACGTAGCCCTCAGGAGATTGCAGCCCCCGTTCTCTCTGTCCCCTTTAATCATCATCTCACCTGTCCAGGTGGTTGGCCCTCTTTGGCGTGACTTGACTGCAGGTGACGTTTTGACGAAGGATCCCTCTGCTTTATTCTTCCTGCTTCCTGCCATCAGTTGTGTTAACCTGCTGGTATCTGTTGGGCTGGCTTGTGGACTGGCCAGCCAACCCCCGCGCCAGCTGGTATGTGGCAGTAACCTGCTRAATACTAGTTTTGGCGACGGGACCAGAGTACCTGCCTGCCACCACCTACCTGTGGAGGAGAGACTGTAAAGATGGAGGCCAAAGGTAACAACAATCTTGTAAAAGGGCAAGCAACTTTTATGTTGGAGCTCTACCGTGCTGCATTGTCCGAGGGTGGTAAGGCCAGTATGGGCAATAAGAGCAACAAGTCACTGAACATAGCAGTCTCACCCGTGAGCATTGCTCTCGCGCTGGTGGTTGTCTCTGGCGGGGTAGCCGGGAACACGTTGACGGAAATACTTAACGTTCTCCGGCTTCCGGAAGATCTGGCCGTTGCGCATTCTTCCTTGACATCTCTGCACAGGAATCTGCTTGGAGGGCCCACCTCTGCCTCCACCTCAGATTCAGCTGCAGCCGTGAAAGTTCAGATTGCGACCGGACTTTGGGTGACTGATCAGCTGCCGCTGAAAAAGGAGTATGAGGATCACGTTGCCATGTACGAGGGTCGTGTGGTGCCTGCAGATTTTGTCGGGGCAGCATCACAAGTACGTGAAGAAATCAACCGGTGGGTGAGCAATCAGACATCAAGAAAGATACAGGAGATCGTCCCTGAAGGCCTGCTTGACAAAGACTCTGTCTTTGTGCTTGTTAACGCGCTCTACTTCAAGGGATTGTGGCGGAGAGTCTTCTATGAAGAGGATACTGACCCTGAGGAGTTCAAGATACCGGCCAAAGGTGAGGGCTTCAAGACTGTGTTTGTTCAGATGATGAGGAATGATGGAATGTACAGAATAGGAAAGCAGAACGGTTTTCGGATTTTGCGATTGCCCTATAAGGTGGGGGGAGCGGATGATTGCCGTCAACTGGCTATGTATATTTTCCTCCCGGATGAGGTGGATGGGCTTGCAAAGATGGAGGGATCGTTGACTGCCGAATTGCTTGAGGAGTCGTTCGGAAACATGTGCGACAACTACCTTGACAAACTTCTGCTCCCAAAATTCAAAGTGGCATCAGGTCTGAAACTCAACCAGTCGCTGAAGGATATTGGCATGAAGATCGCATTCGATTGGGAAATTTCCGATTTGAGCAGGGCACAGTTGCAGTAGCAGGATTCTGTATGACAGCGGATCATCCTTTCCTTTTCATAATACGAGAGGACACATCCTGTGTCGCTCTGTTTCTTGGTCGGGTTGTAGATCCTCGGCCTTCCGATTAGTTGTGAATGTCAGAGTATTTTTGCGCTCGTCAATGGGATGTGGGTTCAACTTGGTGCAATACCGCACGAGGTCGAGTGTTTGCGGGCACATATTACAATGGCTTAATGGTTCTCAAATGTATTAATGGTTCATAAGCAGATCATGAGGTCGAGTGTTGATGGGTACGCGAATTATGGGTCAATTTGTGGGGCGCGTTGTTGTGCAACATGTCATGAATATGACAGTGTTCTTGCAGCTCTTTCGYGAATACAAGTTTTCTAATGGATGGGTGMAACTCCAGTATGGGTCTACTTGTTGGTCGTGTTGTGGATCCTCCTCCATGCAATGTGTTGGGAATATTTCAGTGTTCTGGTGAGCCTGCAACTGCGCCTTCCCAAAGTTGGCAGCTGCTTTAAAATTGGAATGATAAGGACACACATAAATGGAGAAATGGTTGAGCTGAGTTAAAAAAAAAAAGGGAAAAAAAAAGTGTGAGGATTGAGCCCTCAAGAAGGGGCCTTGCCATGATGTACATGCTCTGGGCTAAGGCCCCAGCAAGCCTAGTGCCCGCCCTAAGTGAACGCGGGCCAGCAAATCAACAAGAGCCCTCTGTGCAAACATTTCCCGAAGTGGGGTCCATACAGTTGCAGCACGCCAGTTCGTTGGAGTGCACCGAGTCTCAAATCTCTGCAAATGTGGAGAACCCAGGGCCTCTGAGTTAGTTAGGCCCTGGGCACTTGAACGTGAGGCCGACAATGCATGCTGGGTATAGAGGCCGAAAATGCCAAAGGGAAATCGGCCCTCTATCTGAATCTGGCCGCAGACCTTGACGAAATAGGCGCAACTGCATCACCCGGGCCCCAATTGGATCGGGCCTGGGTTCAGGCACTGGGGCCCAGTCGCAGGCTGAAGGGAGGCTGCCCACACGCAGCACTGGCATATAGGCAAGCAGGGCGAGTGGGCAGGCATTCTTGGCCAATGCAGGCATTGCGGGCACGCTGCGCTGATGCGAGGTGCTGCGCTGTGCAGAGCTGCGCTGCGCTGGGATGAGGMAGGCTAGCGCTAGGCGGTAGGGCGCTGCCTGTGCACTGGGTGCTTGGCGGCCATAGCCGGGCTGCATAAGGGCGCACGGGAGGTGAGGGCGAGGGTGGTTCTTCGGAGGCGAAGGGCGCTGTGTGGGTAACAAAGGAGAGTGTGGGTGAAGAGGACACGTACCTG